ACTTTTTGAAAATTTATACTCCAATAAGCCAGAAAATCTAAATGACATTAACACATTTCTAAACATATATGACCTAGCCAAACTGAACCAGGAAAATATAGAAAACCTAAACAGAACAATATCAAGTAATGACATCAAAACAGCAATTAAAAGCCTTGGAATAAAGAAAAGTCCAGGAACAGATGGATTCTCAACTGAGTTCTACTAGACTTTTATATCAATCTTTCTCAAATTATTCCATGAAATTGAAAGGGAGGAAACACTGAAATTCATTCTATGAGGCCAGTATAACCTTGATACCCAAACTAGGCAAAGAAAACTTCAGAACAATATCCCTAATGAACATAGATGCAAAGATTCTTAATAAAATATTAGCAAACCAAATTCAAAAACATATCAAGAAGATAATACACCATGATCAAGTGGGTTTCATCCCAGGATGTGAGGTTGTTTTAACATATGCAAATCAATAAATGTTATGTCATCACATAAATAGAATTAAGGACAACAATCATGATCAACTCAACAGATGCTCTCAAAAAAGGCCTTTAGTAAAATTCAGCACCCATTCATGTTTAAAATGCTGAAAAATCTAGGAACAAAAAGGACTTACCTCAATATTATTTATAAAGGCTATCTATGACAAACTGGAAGCCAACATCATACTGAATGAAGAAAAATTGAAAGCATTTCCTTTAAAACTCAGGAACAAGACAAGGATGTTCACTCTCACCACTCCTATTCAATATAGTTCTTGAAATTGTAGCCAGAGCAATTAGGCAAAAGAAGGAAATTAAAGGGATACAAATAGGAAAAGAAGTCAAAGTATCTCTGCTTGATGACATGATCCTATGTCTAGAAGATGGAAAGACCTCCCAGGTTCTTGAATAGGCAGAATTAATATTGTCAAAACAGCCATATTACTAAAGCATTATGCAGATTAGATGCAATCATCATCAAAATACCAATGCCATTCTTTACAGAACTAGGAAAACACAGTCCTAAAACTCATTTGGAAAAATAAAAGATGCAGAATATTGAAAGCAATACTGTGCAAGAAGAGTGATGCAGAAAACGTTACAATAGCTCATGTAAAATTATATTACAGAGCTATAATAGCAAAATCAGCATGGTATTGGCATCAAAATAGACATGAAGACCAATGGGATGAAATAAAATACACAGAGACAAACCCATATAGTTACAGTCATCTGATACTTGACAAAGGTCCAAAAAATATATGTTGGAGAAAATACCACCTTTTTAACAAATGGTGCTAGAAAAACTGGATATTCATGTGTAGAAGACTGAAACTAGACCACTATCTCTCATCCAGAACAAAAGTCAAATCAAAGTGAACCAAACACTTAGGAATTAGACCAGAAACTTTGCAGTTGCTAGAAGAAAATATAGGATCAACAGTCTAACATGCTGGTGCAGGCACTGATTTCCTGACCAAAACCCCTAAAGCTCAAGAAATAAAACTAAGAATCAATAAGTGGGATGGCATCAAATTTTATGGCATCATCAAATCACGATCACCTCAATAGATGCTGTTCAATCTATAACAATCAGGGAATGCAAATCAAAACTACACTAAGATTTCATCTTATTCTAGTAAGAATGTCAATTATCAAGAATATAAATAATAATAAAGCAAAGGAATGATTGGAAAGGAAATGATTAAGAGTGTGATGAGAGAGCCTACATATGCAGAGAAAAATCTTTGCCAGCTACTCCACCAATGCAGTATTAATATGCGAAATATATAAAGAACACAAAAAAGATTAACACAAAAAATGCAATCAATAAATTGGCAAAAAATTAAATAGATACTTCTCAAAAAAAGAAACATAAATGGCCAACAAATATATGAAAAATGTTCAATATTTATTACAATCAGGGAAATGCAAATCAAATCTACACTAAGATTTCATCTCACTCCAGTAAGAATGGCAATTATCAAGAATACAAACAATAATAAATGCTGGCAAAGATGTGGGGAAAAGGTATACTGATACATTGCTGATGGGACTGCAAATTAGTATAACCACTCTGGAAAGTAGTATGGAGACTCCTCAGAAAACTAGAAATGGAGCCACCATATGACCCAGTTATCCCACTTCTTGGTATTTATCCAAAAGAACTAAAATTAGCTGAAATACTATGGCAATACACTACGGCAATACAGCCACTTCAACATTTATAGCAGCACAATTCACAATGGCCAAATTATGGAATCATCTCAGATTCCCATCAATAGATTAATGGATTAAGAAAATGTGGTATATCTGCACAACGGACCTTTACTCATCCATAAAGAAGAATGAAATTATGCTATTTGATAGTAAATGAATGGATCTGGAGATTATCATGCTAAGTCAAATAAGCCAGAATCACAAAAATCTAAGGTCAAATGTTTTCTCTCACTTGTGGAAACTAAAGGAAAGTAAGAGGGAAAAAAGGCGAGGGGTGGGGGAGAGTTGTCAGATATCATAGGTGTAGGAAAGATCAGTGAGTAGAAGATTAGAGGGAGGGAAGGAGGATGAGAAAGGGAAGGAAATGCAGAATTAATTTGACAGAATTATGCTACATGTATAAATGTGTTCATGAGTGTGTGTGTGTGTGTGTGTGTGTGTGTGTATCTCACTGTGAATTCTACCTTATGTGTATCTATAAGGCACTGATTAAAAATAAATAAATAGATAAATGAGTGAAAGAGCAAAGGAAGAGTAGAGGAGGGCAACAGGGAAGGGAGGAAGGAAGGAAAGCTGAGAGCACTGGGGATTGATATAGAGTAAATTAAATTTCATGCATGTATTATTTTTTTCAAGATGAATCCAACTATTATGCATGACTATAATTCACTAATACAAAAATTTTAAAAATTAAAAAAATAAAAAGATGGCCTTTCTGATATTCTCAACTGTAATAAGCACAGTACAGATGGCAAGTTTCTGGATAAAATATGAATAAAATTATGTCAAATAACATGCTATCCATGAAGGTGCATGAGCCCACACATTGTGATGAGAAAATATTGAAATTTTTATTTCTATTATTTTACCTTATCCTTATATAAGGTAGTATATAAATAGATAATTTATAAGTAACAACTATGCATAAATGTTAGTGTGTGCTCAATCTTTTTTCTTCTCTAAGGATGTGTAATAAAAATGTTTGCCAAATGACTGTCAAATGATATTTTTGTACCATGTAAATAAGAATAAATTCAATGCATTGTAGAACGTTGTATCAGACATAGTAAGAAGCAGCAGCCATAAAATATTAATTTCTAAGTGAAATACTACTGAATTCATTTGGTATGGCACCACAGGGCTGTTAGAAGGGAGATTCCTAATAACAGGACTTTCAAGTCAGAAAAGAAAGAGACTGCCTAGTTCAAATCTCATTTTAGACAGTGGATGAATAAGAGCCAGAGAGGACAAGTAATATTCTTTATGTTATATGGTGGCCTCATAGTAATACAGCCAGGTGTGCTCCCCAAATGTCTTTCTAATATACAAGGAATGGAGATAGAAAACACATATCTATCTTTAGATATGTATAGAAAAAATATATAAATAGAAATATGAATATATATATATATATATATATATATATATATATATATACACACACACACACACACACACACATACAGAGAGTGTCTTTGAAATTATGCAGCAGGTCAACTCAGTGTTCTATTATAATTTTGCCTATTTATCCATGTCTTTAGTTTTTCCTTTTTCAATCTTCCCCAAATCACTTCCATTTTAAAAAGTACAGTAACACATTTTTAACATGTTAATTTTTTAAAGCTAACCTAAAGAAGAAAAGTTTAAACCTAGAGTCCTGTTTTTTTGTTGTTTTTTACCAGTCTCCTCCAACAGAGACAACCTTTGAACTCTAAATACCTTTCTTTCTTACCAGTAATACTCTGGGAACAACCCAGCACAAGAAATATATATTCAACTATACCCAAAGGAAATAAAAAGTGAAATGAGTTGGGAGTGCATGATAAAGAAATTGACTCATAAAGATACAATCAGAATTAAAAGGTCCTTCTTAAGGGATAAGAATGTAAACCTGCAAAAACAAATCTTATATTAACACCTCAAATCTATTAACCTGATTTTGCATGGAATTTTCTCCAGTGCTTTCAAAGAGAAACCACGAATACGACAAATTGAGAGCATGTCTTTAGGAAACAAGGTAAAGAGAAATTGAAAGTATTTATCCAGGTAATTCAAATCTGCTTCCAATATCTTGATCACGTTTGCGTACTGCTGTCACAACATATACAGGTGGAGTTTGAGAGATGTGACTCTTTCTCTGCAGACATTGGTTTCAACTATGGTTGTTACTTAATCAGTTGTGTCATTTATTGAGAAAACTGTCATACTGAATTGGGAAATCACATAATGCAGAGAATTGCTTAGCAAAGTATCTAGCATATAGTTAATATATAAAACTTAACCCTTCAAGACACAAGTTTGAGCAGGAGAAGTGGCAGACCCAGGGCTTCACAGTTTATGTTACACAGTAAACCCAGAGATTTACTCCAGACTTCTCGAAGGAGGTCGAAAGTTGAGACACGTAGTAAGAAGAGTACTGGTTGTAATTCCTGCAACTCGGTATACTGGGGCAGGAGGATTGCAAGTTCAAGGCCAGCCTCAGCAGCTTAGTTAGACCCTGTCTCAAAGTTAGTAATTGAAAAACTAGGGGATGCAGTTCAGTGCTAAAGCACCCCTGGGTTCAATCCCCAGCACCAATAAAGGGGGGGAGGGGAAAGAATGACGGCTAAGTGAAATCTCTAAACTAAATAAGAGGTGGGGGACTCCAACACACCAGGGTTGCAGCCGCTGAAATCCACCCTAGCAGTTCCGCTTCTTTCGCGCCCTTGCAACACAGCAACTCAGGCGAAAACTACATTTCCCAGCCGCCCTCAGGATTTTTTTTCCGGCGCACTGCGCTCTGCTTTCCGGCCGCATCTTTTACGTCAGTTCGAACCGAAGTTTTGTCACGACTGGGCCAACTCCCAGAACATGGGTTCTTCGTTGTTCCGGCCTCTGCAGCCTAAGAAGTTCGACGAGCCTCCGGTGGCCGCTTCCCCTGTTCCCCCAGATGCATCTGAAGCGCCGACCACCCCGGAGCAAGCGCCCTTGTTTAAAAACTGCTGGAGTTGCCGGGTGCTCTCCGGGTCGGGACTGATAGGGGCAGGCCTTTACGTGTACTTGGTGGCGCGGAAGCCTATGAAGCTGGGATATGCTCCGGGTCCAGGCCCTATTGCCCAGATGGTCATCGGCATCAGTGAGAGCCGGGGCAGTGCCGCTTGGGCTGGGGTGGTGGGGTGAGGAGGTAAACCCAACAGCCACATGGGCTGGAGGGGCGGGGCGCCCCAACCTAGGCCCTGGGTAGGGAGAATTTGCGACGCCTTAGAGGAAAGAAAAGAAAAAGGAAAACAATATTTTATGAGAACTCTCATTAATTTCAGTTTTTAAAATCCTTACAATACCGATTAGAGGTATTAACACTGTTCCCATTTTATTTTCGGGTAAATTGAACCTTAGTGGATTGGACAGAAAGTGACAGACTGGCTTTCCATCCCAGGTTTATCTGGCCCCCCAAATTTCTCTTTTCCTTTCTCTTGGAGATAGAGTGAGGGCACTTGCCATTGGCTTAAGAAATTGGGCTTGGAAGCCAGATTTTAGCTGGAGGTTCAAGTTCAAAGCCCATCAACTTGATGCACCGCTGGGTGATGGGAATCCACAATACTGTTTGCCAAAATGTCTTACAGTCATGTGTTCCTTTACCTTTACAAACCAGTTTTCTAAGTGAATAGATTTTTAGGTTTTCAGATTTCTTGTCAATCAGGTTGTCTAAATCATTTACCTTTGTTAAAACTACTTGCTTTGGAAGATAATAGGGTATTTTCTTTCTGAACTTTTTTGTTCCTTTTCTGAGCTTCACGCTCCTATTCGAAATATATAATGTTAATATATCTTCTAGTAATGTTGTAACAGTTAAATAAGATGGCATTTGGAGCACTTGGTAAACTAAATTGTGACATATAAGTAATATGCTTTTTTTTTCCCCCCCTCCAGGCATTGCTTGTTGGGGTATAGTTATCCTGGCAGACCCTAAAGGAAAGGCCTACCGGGTTGTTTGAATGAACAATGAACTTGTCACCTCTTACCCCTGGACCCATTACACAGGAAGCATGGGATTTATGGTTGTTCTGGACAGACGTGTGGAGGAGCTTTGTCTTCACTATTGGGAATACTACAACACTGAAAAACAATGAAAACATTGGTTGTCATACCTTGACTGTGAGTGTGGCTTTCTTGTCAGGTTTCAGAGGGATCAATAAATCCCTTAGAGAAGAAAATGATTCTGTGTCCTATCTGGGGAAGGAGGGTATAATTTAAATTTTACTTAAATATAATTGCATTTAGTTAAATTATGATTTGTTAATATTAAAATGAAGGAAATGATAAGCCAATAGGAAAATGAGCTATTTTATTTCCTAATTATAGTTCTTTTTATCCTGTAATTGGATTAACACCTGTTGATAAACACATGAAACTAGATATGAATACTTATGCTTTCCGAGGTGTTTTTAAATTCATCATTTCATGAGAGCTTCATTGCTAATCTGACTTTTTTATTGATAAGCCTTAAAACAATAATCCAAGTGATTTGCTCAGGGTTATTCAGAAAATCAGTGCTGTATCTAGTACTTGTTTTTGTCTGGTTTTCCTGTTCTAGTCTTTCAGAACTAGAATGGTACAAGGAGTCAAGAATCACCTTGATGAAACAACCATAAATGTCAATGTACAATGAAAGATTTGAATGCCATAATAAAATTTAAGAAAAATTCAAAACGTTTAGTAAAAAAACATCCTTTGATTTCTTTTCATAAGAACAAGAAATATTTGTAATGGAATTGAGAAGTTTTTGAGATAAGAACTCAAAATTAGTTCATTTCTAAGAAAACGTTTCACTTGCTCCCGTTGGGTTTTTTCTTTCTGTTTTGTTTTATTGTTTTGTTTTGTTTTATTGTTTGTTCTGTTTTGTTTTATCCCCTCACCCTCTAGATACTGTGGCTTCTCCATAAAGTTGTATGTAGCTTTTTTCAAAGCAGAAAGATATTCTCAAATTCAGCTGCTATTCATAGTACATATGTTTTGAAAGACCTGTTAAGCAGGTAGTACTTTAAAGGCTTTTACTTAGCTTCATATAGAAGTACCTAAGTCTGTGAAGTCTTGTGGTGACATCAAGACTTTTATAAAGTGTGTACATCCTGATCACTATAAGAGTGGTACTATATATGTCTTAAGCAAATGAGATGGAAGACATTTCAAACAACCTAAAGTTGACAGCAAGTTATTCTTTATGTAAAATGTACAATTCTGTTTGTTATAAGATGATAATAAATATAGAAGTTTTAAGTTGGAAAGGATTTAGAAACCAACAAAGCAAATGATACATGGTCATTTATCCCCTAAAATACCTATGAATCAAGTTGCCCCTACTTCAGAAGGCTAGTCATTCTATTGATGGACAACTATACATAGATTAAGCCCAAAACACATAAATCCAATTCACTGATCTTGACTTGGCCTATTGTAGAAATAGCATAAATCTTAAACTAATATATAGGTAGAACTTGGAAGTTTGCAGTTTGGGTCTAGACCACTACAGTAAAATGAGTCAGATTTTTGGTTTCCCAGTACATATAAAATGTGTTTACACTACATTGTAGTAAGTACAGTGACAAATGCACAACAGCATGTCTGAAAAACTGTTATATTTAAAAGGTTATTGCTAAAAGATGCTTATGATCACCTGAGCCTTCAGCAAGTTGTAATCTTTTTGCTTGTGTAGAGTCTTGCTTTAGTGTTCATAGCTGCTGAGTTATTGTGGTAATCACTAAATGCAATTTTCTTAAAATAAGACTTCTCTGTAGTGTGCAATGTTGTTTAGTAGCATCTTACTCAGAGTAGAACTTTTTCAGGTTTGGGGTCAAACCCTGCTGCTGTTTTATCAACTGAGTTTATGTGATACTCTGAATCCCCTTATTGTCATTTCAACAATGTTCATTCTTAGCATCTTCACCAGTAGATTCCATCACAAGGAACCATTTTATTTGATCAGCCATGAGAAGGGACTCCTTGTTAAAAGTTTTATTATGATATTCAATCACATCTACAGGTTCCATTGCTAATACTAGTTCTTGCTGTTTTCAATACAGCCACAGTTACTTCCTCCACTGAAATCTTGAGCCCCTCAAAGTTGTCCATGAAGGTTGGAATAGACTTCTTCCAAATGCCAGTTCATTTGATATTTTAGCCTTCTCTGAGTCACAGATATTCTTAATGGCATTGAGGAATGGTGAATCCTTTCCAGGAGATTTTCAACTTTCATTGCTCAAATCCATCAAAGGAGTTGTTACCTTCAACACATGTAACTTCATGATATGAAAGTCTTAAGTAAGATTTGAAAGTCAAAATTCTTCCTTAATGTGTGGGCTGCAGATAGGATGTTGTGTTAAGAGATATGAAAACAAATTTGTGTATCTCCATTGGAGCTCTTGGATTACCAATTGTAATGTCAATGAGTGGTAATATTTTGAAAGGAATCTTCATGAGCAGTAGATCTTGACAGTGAGTGGTCTTTAAAAGATTAAGTAAACTATGTTGTAAGCATATGTGCTGGTATCCAGTAATATTCCATTTACAGAGCACAACAGATTTAGTATAATTTCTATGGCCCCTTGTATGTTCAGAATAGTAAACAAGTGTTAGTTTCAACTTAAAGTTACCAGCTGTATTAACCCTTCACAAGAAAGTCAATCTGTACTTTGAAGCCAGGCATTGACTTTTCCAAGCTATGAAAATCCCTGATGGCATCTTTTTCTAATATAGGGTTACTTTGTCTGCATTGTAAATCTGTTGTTTAGTGTAGCCACTATCAATAGTCTTAGCTAGATCTTCTGGATAACTTGCTGTAGCTTCTGCATTAGCAATTGTTTTTCACTGTGAATTTTGATGTTATGAGATGCTGACTTTTCTTAAACATCAGCCAATCTGCTAGTTTCAGAGTTTTCTTCTGCAGCTTCCCCATCAGCTTTCATAGAATTGAGAAATAGGGTCTTGGTTTAGATTAGGCTTTGTTTTGTGGGACATAACTGGTTTAATCTGTCCAGAAAACTAAAACTTTTCTCCTTATAGCAACAAGGCTGTTGAATTTTTTTTACTTTTACATTCACCACGACAGCACTTTTAATGTCCTTTGAGAATTTTCCTTTGCATTCACAACTTGGCTAACACTTTGGTGCAAGATGGCCTAGCTCTGTGCTTATTTGGTCTTTTGACATTCATTGCTCCCCAAACATAATCATTTCTTTTTAATTTGGTATAAAGTGAGAGATATGTGGTTCTTCATTTTTCTTTAACACTTAAAGCCCATTTTAGGTTTATTAGCCTAACTTCAGTATTGTGTCTCTTAGGGACAGGCAGGTTCAAGAAGAAAAAGAGATGGGGAAAGACTGGTTATTAAGAGTGTAGTCAGAACACTTTTTTTTTTTTTTTTCATTTAAATTTACTTACACAGGTGCAGTTAGGAATGCCCCCAAACAATTAGAATATTAATATCAACTCTTCACAGATCTCTGAAACATAATATTAATGAAAAAAGTTTGAAATACTGTGATAATTACTAAAATGTGATACAGTCACTAAACATGCTATTGGAAAAATGGCACTGAAAGACTTGGCAAAATAGAGGGTTGCCACAAACTTAATTGATAAATGTAACATCTGCAAAAAGCAATAAAGTATAATAAAATGAAGTATATTTAAATCATAATTTTGATGTTAATTAAAATTTTACAAAAGCAAAAAAGCGTTTTTTCAAGTATATTTGCCTACTCACCAAATATATTTAGTTGTTTGTGACTTGGAGCAATTTAATTGGGTATGAGCAAAGTATCATCCTATAACATCTGTAGGCAGTTAAGTGGGAAGTAGTGTAAGAAAAGGTCAGAATTTGGACTTAAAATGTAGTTTTTTCATCTTTTGAAATATACACCAAAATTTTATTTCTGTCAGTGTTAAGCCAGAAATTCTAGTTTATTTTAAATATGAGTCTCTTCTCAGAGGTTTCAGGGAAAAAAAATGTCATCACCCTGGTTCTCAATGTAGGAAATTCACTTAGTTCCCCCATTATCTTCCCTTTTGTTGAGAATTAGGTGGGGTAAACAGAATAAACAGGCTCAAGAATCAATGGATTATTACTCAGTAATATAAAAAGGCTGATTAACTATGATTTACAGGCTTTACAATCTCTATACAGCATGGAAACAAGAATATATAAAGGTTCGTAATTCTTGAGTAAGGAGAGAAGAGAAAAATTAGTAATTAAAAATGCACATAAACTTTTATTTGGAACCCAGAAACCAAAATGTAAACACTGAGGTTTTTATGAGTGTCCAAGATATCTATTAGCTCAACCTTTACATCATGGGTATAAACTTTGGCAGCTTGAGATAATCAAGAACATCACCATTTTTTATGTGTTGACTGATCTGGAGTCTGAACAGCTAGCAATATGTGTAAATATATTAAAAGTCCCAAATTTAGATAGACCCTCAAGGATCTTGGTAGGTGGGTGTATCCAGTGAGGAATATCTTTTTTCCTAGGCCAATGGATGAGACATATTGCTTGCAACCCTAGAGTACACCAAATGCAGGCCAATCTCAGACATTCTGGAGTTCTACCTGGCTGCGACTAGTTGCAGAAACAACTGTTTCTGGAAGCCCTCGATGTTGAGTATCTCGACCATGATTTGTATTCACTTCCACCCTCAGCTTAGCATTTGTTCCTTGCTCCTTTTTATTACTAGTTCCTCTGCCTTACCGTGTCTGAAGCAGTGGCATCGTGAAAAAAGCCAGTTGACAACAAAATATATTGCTTTTAAATATATATCAGGGCAAGCATATGTTCAAGTACCCCCTCAAACTAGACTTGGCCTTAACTGATATATCACTAGGGCTACATTGATTAAACTTGACACTTCTCAAATCTTGATGAAAGAAATAGTAAGCAATTTTGAGTTGAGAAACTGTCTTTTTGAAAAAAATGCAGATAAATACTAGTGTGATCCAATAATTATATAGGTGTTAGGGGCACAGAATCAGGTGAAAGTAATTACCTATCATTCAGAGGTATTCTAAGAACATGGGGAAAAAAATATATCACTTATAGAATGCATGTCTCTTGGCCTTTCAGATACTTAACAACAGTCAAATGTAGAGTATATAGAAATAATCAAAGGAGTAAGTATTAAAGACAACAGTGCCACTGAAAATCACTGCTCAGTCCTGT